AGTGAAATCAAAATTAAATGAAGGGTTTTGAAACAGCCTTAAAATGAGGACAGCCAAACCATTTCAAAAGTTTGGAAATGTTTTGAGTTTCAAACCTGAACCTGGGCTTGCCTGCAGGAAAATAGAAAGTAAGGACAGATATTCACTTGTAATTACATGTGCAGTTACCATGCCTGAATAAACTGTGGAGCTGATTGCAATAAGTAATTAACTCCAGAGCCATAACAGTTTATTCAGGCACAGCACATAGAGCCCAGGTAGAACAGCCCAAGCTAGCAGGGGGCCCCACAGTTAGTCTGCCAGCCCAGGGCTGCTCCCCCCAGCTCAGTGTGCTGCAGAGGGACTTGCTGGGGCCCAATGGAGCTTCACTGTGAGGCTAGCTGGCTTCTGCGCATTAAAAACTCCACACCAAGGTAGCACTTATAATTACAAATACTACCCTGCTGCAGAATTTATTAGTTTTCTGCACCTTAATAGAGACACATATGTAGATGCTGACACATTTACTGCAGAGCTAAATAGTCAGTTCCACAATAAACGTCTCATGGAGACCCGCCCTATAAGTACATCAGAAGGTAAGTACCAGAGATGCTGGAGCCCACCAGAGATGGGCTGCAATCTGCCCCCCACCCCCCGACTCCAGAGCCGGCTGAGGAAACCCCAGGATGGACCTTCCCCCCTTGTCTTCTCCCTCTCCCATTCTGAGAGGGAGTTTGGAGAGAGGGGTGGGGTTAGGGGTGGGGTTAGGTGAACACCTGTTGGATCAGGAGGGTTGATTTAACTCATGGCTCTTTCTGTGAAGTGCCATGAGTTAGACTGGGGAGCTCCACATCTGTCACTGCCCTCAATCAGTTTATGGAAGAGATTATATGGTATGATTACTTGTAATAGCGGGGGAGGGACTAGATTCTATGCCCCTGGAGATATGTTCCAGTCCTAGGTTGAGGACATAGTTTTCTTGTAGTCCACAGATTCTGTACTAACCACAAGAGTTTTTTAATATCCTCAAGAAGTAAACCTCTATGAATATCTTAGCAACCCAAGAGTTTTCATGCCCTTGACAATAAATCAACAAGAGTGACTTCTGGTAACTAATGACAAGAAATAAAGAAAAATAAAATAAAAATACCAAAGCAAATAATTTGGGGACATGATATACTGAAAGCATTAAAACAAGATGTGATTCAGAAGGAAGGCATAAATAGCAATATAAACCTCTTCATATTTTCTGTATTAATGCTGAAAAAACCAGCGTGTTAGCAACACATGTAATATAGCATAGTCATTCTAAGAACTACAATAAATTTAGGAGAGTTAATTTGTCAAGTTCAGCTGCTTTAAATTTAAAAAGTGAGGGAAACAGAAATTCACTGGCAGTCTATCTTGGTTTACCATGCTGTTTAAAAACTATTCTATATTACCATCTTGAGAAAAACCTAATGGAAATATAGCAAAAGCTCTGTCCAAAATGCAGCTGATTGTACTGCACTGCAGCTAATGCCACCACTAAGACCAAAGGGAGTTGGAGCTCTTCCCAGAACAGGACTCTTTCCCTTTTCATTCCATTCATAATCCTTTATCTCATAAAGCAGGACAAATTATTTTTGTTTTACTTAATAAATTAGCTTCTTATTGCCCATTTGGAAAACTTTTCTTTGTGCATGCAAGTGTGTGTATAAATACTTCTTAAATAAAATTAATGTTTTCTTCTTGGTTAGTTACTGAATGTTTAAAAAAACATGGAATTCTGACTTCTAATCCCTCATACAAAATTGCTTAAAAAGCAGTCCTTGCTTTTAAAGGGAGATATTAGTATGCTTGCTTTTTGTAATGTAAGTTGTAAAACCTGCGTTGGTGACTTTGCCACACTGAACAAAGCACCCTCACAAAACACCTTGAACAGGCAGATTTGCAACATTTTAAACTGGCACTTCATCCCTCTTTCAGCAAGCATCCTCTGCAGATTTAATGATCAGGAACATCCTTCTGATGCATGCTGGGAGATATGGCTGCAGGGTACAGACCACAGCAGACAGTGTGTCAGATGAGGCAGAACTTCTTGTTAGGGGTGAGTATGCTAATAGCAAAGTCTGAAGACATGATCACCATAAATTATCATACAAAGGAATTTAAATGCATGGACTTTGAGCACATCAGTACTATGCATTATACTATACAGATTTTACAATATAGATGTCATTTTTGCTTGACCTTTTTGTCTTTGACAAAGCTGTACGGTAAACAAGTCTGCAAAGTACATATGAGTAACAGCAGCAATCCTTAAATAGACCCTCAGTTTCTAAAAGAGTTAACAGCATAAAAAACATATAATTTTAACAATTTAATTGAGACTTAAATATCTAAGTGAGATAGATGAAATGGGCTTTTTGGTTCATTTTTTTCCTTTATTATTATAAATTGTTTCTCACTTTCTCTGAGGCTCAAGGGTTTGAGAATATAAACTGTGCTTCTGTTGAAGGGGACTGCTCCATTTTTAGTAAAATTAAAGGTCTAAGTATTAGTCACAGAGTAGTTTATAATCTGAACTTTTTTCTGGCTAAATAATGACCAAACTCTGGCAATTTGTTAGTAGCCTGCAGCCACACTGAAGGCTCAATCCTGGCAGTTTCTGAATACTACCAGAGAGGTGCAGACTGCCATCGGTTCCCACAGAGGCCAGTTGTTATTTAGAGCTCTCAGCACCCCACAGGAAGGGTCCTCTGTGCTTCGCAGGATTAGCCAGGCCTCCAGTTAGCATAAAATAAAGAATTGGTCACGTTTTGCACAGCTGTAGGTCCCATCCTGCAATGAATCCATCTGTCTTCATCAATTCGTTATGGGACTTGTGGTCTGTGGTGCCCTACATATTTGCATTTAAAATGAAGGATGCTGCATTATAACATTCCTAATGCCTCATTTATGTAACAGTTCATACGTTATATAGCATGCAGTGTTTTAAAATAGAATAAATTATATTATTGACATATGAGAAACTACAAGCAGGATACTAAGCCTAGAGATGATAATATTTTTTTAAATGCTTTTAGCTTATTCTGCCACTTCTTTGCATTTGATTTTCACTCTGGCAGTCATTTGAACAGAGAAACCATGAATCTAAGGAGAGAAATTACATCTGATGAGAAGTATTTTGTTAAAGTTTCCATGTGGAGGACCATAGTGCTTTTATTAACCTATGGCACTCTATAAATGTCATTTCACTTATTAAGTGTCAAAAATCTCTCAACCTACTGGTGTTTGGTATCCCACGGTCTTTCTTCTAAATTATGCAAATGTGACTCTCCCCCTTCCCCCCCTCTTTATAACCTCTTATGGTCAAGTAACTATTTCTTGCTCCACTGGGTTTATTTTTATTTGTATGAATTTACTGTGTTTTGTTACAGAGAGAAAATCTCAGAATAGGAGTTTTGAATGTAAGAGTAACAAAGGCATTGTTTGGGGCATTAAAAACAATAGATTCAGGTGTCCCATTAACATGCCACTTAGTGACAGCTTTATAACATCATTCAAATTCAAATATGTCATGCTTGTATTCCATATTCTTGGTGCATGGTAAATTAAAGAATGGAGAAACATTTCAGCTTCACAACTAGTGTGTATTGTGTGACTACAGTTTTTGTACTGATATAAACCTCTGGTCTTATTACACAATATGATCTTGTTAGTTTATTCAAGAAATTAATTTCTTATTAGATATTTTTAACACTTACGAAGTAGGATAGAGTAGATTCTTCACCTCAACATTGTTTTTGCCAAATGAAGGCTATTTTTTTCTTTATTTTTGTCTTTCAGTAAACATTTCAAGCAGCTTCCATGTAGTCATGGCTAGCTGTTCCTGTTGGTAAACCTCAGCAAAATTCATGCAGAATAGTAAAAAGAATGCAAATATTTGCTTTCCCTTATTTTGCTAAAATTATTTTACTTCCATCTTTAGGTACTTCTCCTTTTTTTCCCACTACATCTCTCAGGTTACATAGGCACTTGCTGCTTTACCACTGGATAACTGTCCAGTAGTCCCAGATTGCAGTGTCACTGCAGATGCCTCAAGTTCAATGCCTCAGGTTCAATGTCCTTGGGTATGCTGGAAACTCATTCAGCAGAAGAGATCAGCAGCACAGGGTGACTCTGAATCCACTTAAAGGAAGAAGGAATTGCCATGTGTTTAGGAAATTTGCTACCACTGTGAAGTGATGATAGAGAAAGCCAATTTACCATTTACTGCTATTTAGTTGTTAGTATAGCTTTTGGGTAGAACAACTTCTTTGTGCCATCTTCTGTCATCTATGCTTTTAATGTTTTATTATGAAACCTGTCTGATATTTTTTACATATCTGACTGGTAATATGTAAGATCTTCTTTACTCACTGTCACCTCCATCTCCTTCACAGTAAGAATTTGCACAAAAAGTTGAACAAAAATCACTTAACATCTTCTTTTTACATATTCACAATTATCAGTTTGTGCAAATGGAGCATGTCATACTATCTTATGTTAAATTATTGTATTAACATTAAGTTCAAATAATTTTTTGTCACTTCATAATAAGAGTTTTAAAAGACAACTGCACTTAATCCTGGCCTGTCAGGTGGAACAACAGCAACACAAATCTTTACAAGTCCAGTGTTTGACCAGTTCTTGTTACTGGTCCAGGAACAGTTTTCCCTTCCTAATGCCATCCTGGATTACCAACATTTATTTTATTTGCATGTCTTGAGCTTTCTGTGAATTACAACTAGCAACAGAGCAAAAAGAAGAATTTTTCAGCTTGGCTGGTTTTGTGACTATAATTGGCACCACTTTTGTACTCATGCTGTCTCTGTACTAATTTTTTACAAAGAAGTGATTACAAAAACAGAAGGCTCTAATGCAGGATAAATATGCATGTCATGTTCTGACACTAATGATGTGATCACAAATGCGGTTACCATATACCCACATACCAGCCAGGAAGCTTAGTCTCCGCAGATGTCTCAGCTGATCCTGTAGCCAACGATGTGTCAGGTTTCCTCAAGACAAAGCCTGCTTGGTAAGTTAATTTGTTTTTAAAGACTGTCTTCCAAAAAAAGGTTTTATTGTGTTTTTATTTTCCCATAATGCTGTGGAAATTCTGAAACAGTCTATGCATTCGTTTTTCTTGTAACAGTGGATATCTTCATGATCTGGTATGTCCATCATCTTCAGTCTAAGGAATGTTAAACCACCAGATAGATCTGTCATGGAAAGAACAGACATTGTAATGAAAATACTTTTATTACCGTAGTACTACAGATCAGCATTGGTTTCACCAGACACATTTGGCTGAGGTAAATAGTATCGTTTGTTTGCTGTCAAGTACTTCCCTAATACAGTAAATCACCTTACAAGAGGAGGATTTAAAACAAAAAAACCCAATAACAGCCACATAATTAAACATAGCTCATTTTTGCCAAGAAGAGATGAGCATGCTCTTGAAACATTATAATCCAATTTCTAATGAACTCAAAAGTAATCCTGACCTTGACTTCAGTAAGAAAGTTCATATGGACCTCTTCTTCTTGGATACATGTGATTAATGTGCATGAATAAACTCTGGTGCTTATTGCTCCAGAGCTTTTTGCTCCTGTGTGCACTGTTTGAATATGCACCTGGAAGCAAAAGACTCTGGAGTATATTGATTGCGCACAAGTTAGAGCAGCCCAGGCTAACAGGAGACCCAGGGGGTGCGGCAGCCTGCCAACCCAGGGCTGCTCCACAGGACGCCACATGTTACGGAGCAGCTGACTGGGGCACAAGGGTTCTTCAATGCAGGGGCTGCCTGCCAGCACCCAGGGCAGCATCTACATGTGTGCTGCTGCACATGAAAAAACTTTGCAGCAGATTAGGTTAGTATTTATAAGTCCTAACCTGTTGTGGAGTTAATTAGTTTCATGCACCATAATAGGGGCACACAGGTAGACGCTGAGATATTTACTGCACAGTAAACATCTCGTATTTACATGCCCCTTGTAAACAATATATTCTTCTGCTCTCTTTTCTGCAATTTTGGAATACATACTTACAGAAGGTATAATGCTGTTCCACTGTGCAAAGCAGAGAGGATTTTTGAGGTCACATACAAGATAAACTATCATCTGTACTGTGCCTCATCAAATGTACTGAACCTCCCACCTTTTAATATTTTAATATTGATGTCATTCGTGAAAACGATTATTAATCACAGAACATTATGGCAAACTGCTAGTTCTCTTTGGATTATTATTGTTCTAGAGACTTTTAGTTCAGGTTATGAGTTCTTTGCTGTTGACACAAGAAGTAAAATGATTATTAGTAAACTTTACTCAAAACATAATCAGAGTTACCAGATATATTCTATCACCTGAGCCCTATCTAAACATTCAAGCTCATGTATTTGTTTTGCTAGACTTGGTTACATTATGCCAATAAGTTGCATCGATCACCCAGTACTAACTACCTGCTGTAGGCTGCATTACAGACCACATCTTAATAATCCATCCATCAGTCAGTACATCTGTTACAAATTATCAAACCTTCTTTCAGATTGTTCTGTTTAAATGGTCCACACAGACTATAGCCTTCTTCCTCTTTGTCTAAGTCAGTCAGGTGGTATCTTCTATATGGTCCCAACAAGGTCACTGTCAAAGTGTGACAGGTATACTTTTTCACTATATGGAATTTAAATAATACATTGTGGGCACATCTACATATGCAGTTATGGTACCTGAATAAACTGCAGAGCTAAAACTCCAGTGTTAATTGCTCCTTGGCTCGCCATTTGAACATGCACCCAGAAGCAATTAACTCCAAAGCAATAAGCTCTGCAGTTTATTCAGGCACAACATGTGGAGCCCGGGCAGAGCAGTCCTGGCTGGCAGCAGGACCCAGGGGTCAGCTTGCCAACCTGGGGTTGCTCCACCTGGCTCAATGTGCTGCAGAGGGGCTGGGTGGGACACAAGGGAGCTTCAGCATGGGGCTAGCTGGTAGGCAGGCCCTTAACCATAGCGCACACATACCCCAGCCAGCACGCAGCATCTACACATGTGCTGCTGCAGAGATTTTTACTCCACAGCAAATAGTACTTGTATTTACAAGTACAGTCCTGTTACAGAGTATATTAGCTTACTTTAGTCTCATAGGGTCACACGTATAGACACTGAGATGTTTACTCTGTAGCTAATTATTCAACTGTGCAGTAAACGTCCTGTGCAGTTTTGCCCTGTATAACTTTGTTATGGAAGACATTATGCCTTAGATTGCAAATGATACAATTTTATAACAAATTATAAGATGACTAGCAGTTTGCAAGGAAATCACAATGACCTATTTAAGACAATTTCTAGATGGATAATATTTGAAGAACTAATTTTAAAATGTCCAGGAGTTTCTGTCTCTCCTATCACAAAGAAGTGTGTAAGTTTAATCTGTGCCCATCTTTCCATTGTATTGATCAATGTATCACTCAAAATAAATTACTTAAGTGCTTCTGACAGTTGTATTATATTTTTTAAGGAGCAACTTTGAAAGAAAAAAAATCATATTCTTGAAAGAACCACTTTAGCATGCTGTGTCTTGAACAGTCCTCTGGTCTTTGAGATTTCACTGAAATAATTTAATCTTGTTATCTCCAGTGGAAGTTAATGATGTAAATTCTGGAATTTACCTAGTTTCTGATACTAAGAGCTTTCTGACTATATTTTGTCAACCACTGAAATATGGTTCTCAATTTTAGCAGTGTGTGCTCAAACTCTTTGTTGTTGTTGTTGTTACAGATGTGGATGGACAATGTTCCTTTCCCATGAAGCAAAAAAGACATTGATGTTCATCATCCCCCTGGAGTTTCTGGACTATGTTATACATGCTATGGGGAACCTATTAGCATATATAAGTTAATTAAAAATAAATTCAACCATATGATTATTAGTACTAGAGTCATGACAAAAAGATCATATTGTAAAAAGATGGAAAATGTTTGTATCTACCCAAATAAAAAAAAATCAGGTTTCTTCTCAGTGAATAGTATGCACTGTATGACCATTTACAAAAAGCTAATCAAATGAAAATCAACTGGAAATAAAATGAGCTTAAAGATCAAAAAGCATATTGAGAGCTGTAAGACCTTAAACAAAAGTATAAAGAAGGATTTTGTAGAGTAAAAGGGTGAAGGCCTTTGTGACTACAAAATGCAGTTTTAAAAGTACACATTTTGTGGTCTAAATACATTTTAAAAAGAAGTTAAAGCTGTTCATATTTCAAAATGATAAAAGTACCAACCTAAGCAAGAAATCTACTCTCATAATATGTTTGTGAAGAAGCAATGGTATGTGTTTCCTCTGAACTTCACTGACCTAGAGAGAATATAACGTAGGAGCTCCTAGTTAAGCTGACCATACTGCTGCTCTCAGTTGTAACGATGCCAATAAAACTTGCAGACAAGTATCTGAGTTTAAAGGCCATCACCACAATTTTATTAAATGTAACACAAACAAGTATAGCAGGTTTCTTTTGTCCCTTAAAGGTGCATTCAAACTATAACAGAGGCTACTCAGACACCTCTAACCCCAATATCTCAGCCCAAATAACTGGATTTACAGTCCAAAGTGAAAACCAAACTCCCTCTCAGGGCCCTTGATCTTGCATCATGTACCTGTGCCAGGAAGTCTTTGTTGGATATTGGTCCTTGTCTACATGCCTTTGTTCCCAGTTCCTTTAGTGTAGACTCATCTGCTCTCAACTCCAAATCTACATTCAAAGAAGGGAACCAAGATGACCAGTTTTTCTGTCACAAAGATTCCTGCACAGCATGCTATGATAAAGTAACTCAACCAGTTAATTTTCTTCAGTACACTATAGCTTGTAGATCGCCTGCCCTTCAGCGTTCTGGAGCATCCAATGGTCAAAGCAAGATTTATTTACTTAAATCTTACTTACTATATATAATAAGTCTAACTGATCTGTTACCTTGTATTTAAGAGTATAGATCTTGCAAATTCTATAATAATTACAAGAGAAACAAAAATCTGAGGGGAATAACACAAGGGTACACATTAATTCCAAAGTTGTCTTACACAAATTAAACATTTATATATTATATCTGGTTATCATTCATAACATAATTCAATCATTACAACTGCATATACATAATCCAATATTGATTACACACGTACCCTTATTTTAGGTAAGCACATTCCAATGTCATCTTGTTTTGTATCAAGCTACATATGTTCCTTCATTTCAAAATAAGCACGTGCCAGACCTATCTGATTTTGTAAAAGCACAAGAC